CCCCTATCAAAGAAATTCTTTTTTTTAAAATTTTTTTTCAACGTTTATTTATTTTTGGGACAGAGAGAGACAGAGCATGAACGGGGGAGGGGCAGAGAGAGAGGGAGACACAGAATCGGAAACAGGCTCCAGGCTCTGAGCCATCAGCCCAGAGCCCGACGCGGGGCTCGAACTCCCGGACCGCGAGATCGTGACCTGGCTGAAGTCGGACGCTTAACCGACTGCGCCACCCAGGCGCCCCATCAAAGAAATTCTTAAGTAACTAGCCAATAGTACAGTTTAGTGCTACTGCCTTGATTCATGCTAACGTGCCAGTGGTTTTATGGACAACTGCTTTTGCACCATCAATGCCAATGTCAACACATTGAGACAGATAACATCTTAGTATTATTATGAAAATGGTGTTGACCTTGCAGTCCCCCAGAAAGCATCTTGAGGAACTTCAGGAGCCTGCAAACCATACTTTCCAGAGCTTCTGCACAAGCAAAAATGTAAACTATGGAGACAGACCTCAAGATGATCCAGATGTTTGAATTAGCAGACAAGTAATATAAAAACAAAGATGGGGACAAAACATAAGAGAGTCTTAAATGTGGAGCACAAACAGAGTGTTACTAAAGGGGTTGTGGGGAGTTGTGCGGATGGGCTAAATGGGTAAGGAGCATTAAGGAATTTACTCCTGAAATCATTGTTGCACCATAGGCTAACTTGGATGTAAATTAAAAAATAAATTAAATGAATTAGCAGACAAGCAGCTATTATAAATATGCTCAAAATTTTAAATGGAAATGTGCTCAGAATAAGTGATGGATTAAGAAATCTCAGCAATCTGCAGCTCTGAAGTTTAAAAAATTCACTGGATGGGTTTAACAGCAGAATGGAGAGGAAGTGTGCAGCCCACGTTTAAATAGTGGTTACGCTCCTCCTCCCCGGGGGCAGAGTGTCTACGTAAGTTATTTGGAATTCTGCGTTGGAGATTTGTCTCTTCTTTCCCATTTGTTTATTCAAGCATTTATTTAGATCAATGGGATTTATGAATACTTATTTTCTGCTTTGGTTTGTAATCCTACACTCCTTTATTTATTTATTTTGTTTCAACTTGTTCCCCATCTGGCCATTGGGGAGGTCTTTCACTTGGTTTCTGAGTCTCTTTGACATATTCCCACGATTGTGGGTTTTTGTTTTGTTTTGTTTAGCACTTTCTTACTTTCTGGCTCTACAACATCCTTCAGGCTCATCTTGTAAATGTTCTATAATGCCCCATCCTAAAACCAGCCATTTCTCCAAGGAGCACTTTTACTGAAGAATGGTATTAGAAACCAAGATCTGGGCACTAAGAGTGCTCATTGCTACTGAGCTGCCATTGCTTCGGGGTCATCTTAGCTGAGAGCAAGGACATATATGTGTACATACTAACCAATGTATACACATGTAGCTAAATATTTCTATTGTAATCATCTGCATCTATACTAAGCTAAATGTGAGTTTACACTGATGTTTCCAATGCCATTCCTTTATCACATGGGTGATCCTAGCAGCAGCCCCCCTTCCTCCCCTCCCCCCCACCTGCCTGCCCCACTGGCTTATCTGTGTTCTCCCACTCCAGCAGAGAGAAACTGGCCTCCACCATTTACTCAATTGTCCACGGACTTAAGAAAAAAAAATCTAAATGTTAGTATCCATTGCTGGCATTATTCATACCGAAGCTCCACTTGTCCCAGATTCGGCCAGAAGGATCGCTTTCAGTCTGTGTCCTTTCTCACCTCTGCCATTCTTTGAGCATCTCACTGTATTCTCGCACAATAAGATATTCTGGGCTTGCCTTGTGTTTTCTCTGTCTCAGATACAGAATCAGCCATCTATTGAAGAAGCCATAATCCATATCCTCTTTTTATTAAGACATAATTCTCATACCATACAATTCATCCATTTAAAATGTACAATCCAGGGGCACGTGGGTGGCTCAGTCAGTTAAATGTCTGACTCTTGGTTTCGGGTAAGGCCACAATCTCACGGTTTGTGGGTTCAAGCCCCACGTCAGGCTCTGTGCTGATGGCTCCAAGCCTGCTTGGGAGTCTCTCCCTCCCTCTCTCTATGCCCCTCACCTGCTCTCTCTCTCTCTCTCTCTCAAAATACATACGTAAATTAAACAAATAGAATGTACAACTGAATGGTTTTTAGGATATTCTTACAGTTATGCAACCATCGCTATTCAATTTTAGAACATCTCCATCACCCCCAAAGAAGCCACGTATACTTGATCATCCCCCAGTGTCCCCATTCCTCCCAGCCTACATGGTGGCCTGTGTCTTCAGAGCCTAGTGTACATGTGCACGTATGTTTGTGTGTATGAGTCACACAAAAATGGCCATTAAGGGATTGGCAGGAGGAAGAGGCAGTATCTGGGAAATTATGACCACAGAGGATCTAATGCAGAGGGTAAGCTTTCCATAGAGGAGGATAACAGAGGAGTTTGGTCAAGTTCCCCACAGCTGGCAGTGGGGGGTGGGAAGGGTAGAGCAGAGCCCTGAGGATCACTTGAGAAAAGCAGATGATACAAGGTAACAATGAATGATTCGGATTCTAGAGTCGATTATTTGAGGCTTCACTCTGTAATGTATAGCTATGTAACTCTCAGCAATTTAAAGCCTCAGTTTCCCTGTTTGTGCAACACCTATCTTTTGCCTCGTAGGTGGAGGGAGCTCATAGGCACATGTGGTCATTGTTGGTACTTATGAGTGGAACCTGCAAAATCTTGGTAGGGTGTGGAGTGCCGTGTCTGGTCAAGAGGCCTTCTCAGAGGGTGTCCCCTACCATACTGTTTCTGTGGGGACAGTGTCCTCAGGTGAGGCTTACTGGAACCTTCCAAGACTTGGGGCATGGGGTTTACTGGGTTTGCCATTCAATCATTCCCTCTTGGAGGTGAGTATTCAGGGTAGGTGGGAAAGGGAGAGCTTCTGGAGGAAATCCACTCTGGAGACTTAGAGAACCCTTGAAAAACAAGACTATCTAAAAGCATTAAAAAGAGGCCCAAATAAATTCAGAGGGGCTGTTGTGATTTTTCATTTTGGTACTAAAGCATGCGTAAAATTTTGCACCCCTCTTTGAATGTACCGTGACCATTTTTTGTGCCTTAAAGTTATAAATACTTAAAATGCCTATTTAGTACTTAAAGAGCTTTACATTAATTTTTTTTTTTCAAACGTTTATTTATTTTTGGGACAGAGAGAGACAGAGCATGAAGGGGGGAGGGGCAGAGAGAGAGGGAGACACAGAATCGGAAACAGGCTCCAGGCTCTGAGCCATCAGCCCAGAGCCTGACGCGGGGCTCGAACTCCCGGACCGCGAGGTCGTGACCTGGCTGAAGTCGGATGCTTAACCGACTGCGCCACCCAGGCGCCCCAAAGAGCTTTACATTAAAATTAACACAACCATGTGACCTTGAACACAATCGTATACATATTTTTTCTATTATCTTCTCATAGTTTTATATCATAGAACATGTAGATTACAAGTATACCTGTGTGTTACTGTGTAGGTAGGTCATTTAGATGTAACAGGGTATACACAGTTTCCTTTAAAAAAACTTTTTTTTAACGTTTGTTCACTTTTGAGAGACAGAGAAAGACAGAGCACGAGTGGGGGAGGGGCAGAGAGAGAAGGAGACACAGAATCCGAAGCGGGCTCCAGGCTCCGAGCTGTCAGCACAGAGCCTGACGTGGGTCTCGAACCCACAAACTGTGAGATCATGACCTGAGCTGAAGTCGGACGTTTGACTGAGCCACCCAGGCGCCCCTATACACACTTTCTTATACCTATCTTTTATATTGTATCTTCAATCCTGAAGATATAATAGCAATCATTCCCAGGGAGCTTGTGTTGAAAGAGGTCTTCGGTTCACAGTCCCAACTGTTTCTTGTGAAACCTTTCACATTTTAAGGGCTTGTGAACCTTTAGCTCAGGATTCACCAAAATTTCGGTTCAAAAATATAAATTCAAAAACCCTGTGGCAGACTGTGTTCCTGACTATCTGTAATCCCCTAGTACCCAGTAATACAATTGTAGCTGGGTACATGGTTGGCCCGCACGAGGATTTTTTTTTAGGCCTATTTTGCTGCCAGGTGTGACCTGCGGAAAGGGGTGAAAGGGACAGGTGCCAACTCTAGAGCTGGGACGTCCCCTCATGTCGTCTGCCTTGCTGGGCCCAGGGAGCAGCCACTTCACACCTAGAGACGAAGGCCCCATGTCGAAGGCGGCAAAGCCATCTTACGTGCCCGGACTGCTAACATTCTTGTCCAAGCCATCACATTCACGGGGTCTCTGATACGGTGGCCCAGCCTTTCCGCTAATATACTACTTGCTTGTCAATTGCTTGGGGCAAGATAGTTTTTCTTTGTAACACTTTACTTAGTTTTGAGAGAGCGCAAGCGGGGGAGGGCCAGAGAGACAGAGGGGGACGGAGGATGTGAAGTAGGCTCTATGCTGTCAGCACAGCGCCCGATGCCGGGCTCGAACTCATGAGCTGCGAGATGATGACCTGAGCTGAAGTCGGGGGCTCAACGGACTGAGCCACCCACGCGCCCCTCAGGCAAGATAGTTTTAAAATATAGTCTTGTTTTCCAAAAGTCCAGAGTTCCGCTTTGTTCCTCACATAGCTTTTGCTAGACTAGTTTGTCTCTCCACCTGTGGTTGGTAACATATCGGCAAGTGTCCATTTTACCAGGGACACCTACGTTCTCCTGCGTGTTTCGTGCAACAGAGCTGTGTTCTACAAGGGGTGGCTTCTGCCATTCAGGCCTGGCTGTATTATTGTAAGAGCTCAGGGTTGGCCACTCTGAATCATACCCATTTCATATTACATAGAAGTAAGCCTTAGAAAAATGTCAAGGATGTGGCAAATCAAAACGACTGTCAGCCGCGAGCTTGCTGGAGGCCAGGAGGCCAATCCTATGGACAGATGGGAAGTAATAGTAACCGGATACCCAAAACTCCGGCCCTACCTTCCTCTCCCAAACTGATGCTTCTTGTGCCTGGCTCCTACTCTGCTCCTGGTGCACATCTTTTACTGAAAAAGAGAAAGGAACAAAAGGGAATTAAATTTCACTGGGCGCCTTAACATCTAGGGAGAGACTGTGCAAACGGTGATTAAGAACATGGGGATCGGAGTCAGATACATCAAGGTTCAAATTCCGGCTTTGTGACATACTAGCAGCAGAGTTTGATTAAGTAACTTGATCTCAGTGCCCTCATCTGCAAAATGGGGGTAATAATACCAACTTCAAAGTTGTCTGGACATTAAGTAAAATAACGTATCTAAATGTCTGGAGTGGACTAAGAAGGAAGCTGATAAGTGGTAGTTAATAGTATCTAATCTCTTCTCATTTCCTCATGCCAAAGATTTTGTATGCTGATTTCATCAAGCCTATAAAACATGGGCACAATCCCTCCCATTTTACAGATGAAGAAATTGGAGTTAAAGAACTCGTGAGTGGAAACAGATATCATACTAGCTGCATTACAAATGGAGAAATGGAAGCACAGAGTCTTTAAGTAACTTGTGAAGCAATTATTGAGATCGGATCCAAAGCCGAGTGCGTCTGACTGGACATGTTGTAATGGTCATGGTGATATCTGTTATTTGCATCAGCTTTGAAGAACCAATCCTCACAGACTGGGACATGCTTATGACTGCTTTCAGTAAGAACCAGTCACAACTGTTCAGGAAGGAGCTAGAGTCTCTACGTTGCCTTCTATACCTTATGCCCTGCTCACCACAGTATAGCTGCCATCTGTCACCACACAACCCTCCTCCAGAACCAGCGACTATTATTCCCTACGCTGTGCAGTGTGGTAATTTCAGTGTGTAACATTCCTGGTTCTACAATAAAATCTTCTAGATGATCACTGTAATTAGATTCAATTATTGGGGCAAAAGAGAGATTACATAGCTCTTTAAAGCAACCAAACAGTCGTTCTCATCTACTTGCTTCTTTTCTTTAATAATATTTTATTTAGCATCATAGCACTCAATTAAAATTTTTTTATCTGTCTTTTAAAAAATGTGATGTTAGTTTCAGGTGTAAAACATAGTTATTTGGCAATTATATGAATCACAAAAGATCACCACAGTAAGTGTAGTTACCATCTGTTGCTATACAATGTTACTACAGTATTACTGACTATTATCCCTGCCCTGCACTTTCTGTGACTTATCTGTTTTACAACTGGAAGTTTGTATGAGGTTGTATTACTTTAAAGTTTATTTATTTATTTACTTTGAGAGAGAGCAAGAGCAGGGGAGGGGCAGAGAGACAGGGAGAGAGAGAATTCCAAGCAGGCTCCACGTGGTCAGTGCAGAGCCTGACGCAGGACTCGATCACAGCAGGAGAGATCACCATCTGAGCTGATATCAAGAGTCAGACGCTCAAACGACTGAGCCACCCAGGCGCCCCAAGATTATATTATTTTAAATAGCATTATGTCAGGTGTTCTGGAACACCTGTATTTGAATTTATAATCTGTTGATGAGCCAGCATAAAGATATCAAAGTAATTAGCTTCTAATAAAAGTGTACAACAATTTAGATTGTACAGTAATTCCAACAGCTGAGCTATAAATAAAATTCCTGAGTTTCTCAGCACCAAAGTGAACATGAGTATCAGAAAAGGGGAAAGATGAACTTCTTATCACTTAGGATTTTTTATGCTTACCAAAAGGACTGTCAGATATACATTTAAAAATCATACATAACTTTTACACACACATGAAAAATCACTTAAATAAATTGATCAAGGTATTCCTGAAAAAAAACCCAAAAACAAGGAAAGGAAAGGGGAAAGATATAAGAAGCAGCCAAGTTTTTCCTTGTCCTCTGCTTCAAGAGAAATTTCAGAAGTGGTACTTTACAGAAGGTAGAATAAAAGGTGCCCTTAACAGCAGCCTCACAGCAGATGCACTCATGGGACCCAGCTGGCTTTTTCTTTCCACCTTGGACAGAGCTGAAGGTATAACGTGGAAGAAGGTTTTGCTCAGGATCCAAACGTGTGGTCGACCTACGGCAGAAATGTGCGTGGCAGTGGGAATATGCTCATAGCAGCATACTTTTCAAACAGTCCTCCTAAGCACACCTTGTCTTGGCTGAGATCTGAGAGAAACCAGGCAGGAGAACATTTCAAACTCCTCTGATGAACACCTACACAAGGAATTGACATTCTGCGTTTGAGGCCGAGGGGAGAGCCATATGCTCTCAGTCCCGCCTCAGCAGATGATGGTTTGGCTTGAGCCCATTTTGTCAAGACCACGGTGCCTTACCAGGACTCCGGACTCCGGGCAGGCCAGTCCACCTGCTGTTCCCACCCCCTTCTTGAACTCCGCGCAGCATGCCCTGAGGATGTTCACGGGCACGTTTAACGGATGACCTGTGCCTCTTACATACATGGGTAAACGGGAGTCCGGCGCAGAGCTGCTACCCAGCCAGCCAAACGGGAGCTCAAACATTTCAGCTCACCTTTGCAGCTAAGCTGGGACCCCAGGGCGTATGCCGGGGAGAGCGTGGAGTTCTTATGGAACACGGCCTCCTAAACCGTTCCACAGCCTGGGAAAACTACTTCTTCCTGCGTTTGCTGGATGAGCCTTTACCGCGCGCGCCAGGCTGGGGAGGCCTGGGCCACAGGCTCCGGGAACGCTCCGTCATCCGGTCTGGGCGGGGCAAGGCGGTGAGGGGGCGGGGCCTAGGGCGCGGACGGGCGCGGACGGGCGCGGGAGAGAGGCTCCGGGGGGCGGGACGTGGGCGTGCCCGGCGTGCGCGCGGCGCCGAGCGCGCGGCGGGGGCGGGGCGGCAGCCGCGGGCCCACGCCGTAAACATACAAGATGGCGGCGGCGGCGGCGGCGGCGCCTGGGGCCTTGGGCGCCTTGCAGGCCGGCCGCGCTCGCTTGGTGGCCGCTTGCTGTGCGCGGCTCGGCCCCGGGTGGAGGCTGCCCGGCTCCTTGACGGGCCCGCGGGTCGGCCCGGCGATGTGGGCCCGGGGCTGGGCGCCCGTGGCCGGGGGCTCAGCCCCGCGGAGGGGCTACAGCTCTGAGGTGAAGACGGAGGACAGGCAGGCGGACCCGGAGGAGAACCGAGGTGAGGGGCGCGGCGCTGGCGGCCGCGGGTCCTGGGAAGGGGTCGCAAGGTCAGTCCGGGCTGACGTCAGCGTCTACGGTGCGGCGCTCGGTCGAGACCCCTCCCTTCCCCCACCCCAGCTTTGCACCCAGGGTATAGCTTTCAGTGCCTAAAGGTGTGCTACGGAGCAGCTAATTTGTAAAAGATTCCCACTCAGCGCCGAAGACAGAAATGCAGCTTGCGCCCCCATCTCTAGACGAGCCAAGGTCAATAAACCGGGTGTGTGATATTTGCTTCCAGGTTTTGTGCTGGCTGTGTAATCTGTCAACTCAGATATCGGGGTTGGAGGTGGTGGCGGGGTGGGGGGGGAGAGTTTCAGGAGCTGCAGTGAGAATGCACTTCATTCTGAAGAATCTCACGTGTAGAGCTGTTCAGCCGCAGCGGTTTCTCCCTTAGTTTGTTTTAGAAAGTTAGTTTGGGGGACTGGATTCCGATTCCCTTAAACAATTTTCGGGCATGTTTTTGTGTTCCGGGTACCGCGCTAAGCCCTGGGGACCCAGTTGTGGGTGGTAACTGGTCTTGCCCTTGAGCTACCTGCGGCGGAGTGGACAGATGCATTGGCCATACAATACCGGGGGGGGCAAAAGGGGGAAGGGCTGGGAAGGACGGAACTGTCTGCCTGAGCTCGGTTCCTTTCCCTTGCCCACTTGGGTCGCGAAAGGTGGAATAGCGGCTTGCCAGAGGACCAGTCATTTATTTCGACGTGTAGTTATCGAGCACCTATCATCTTGTTAAGCAGACGTGCAAAAGGAGTTAAGTCATGATTGCTGTTAGTATCTTCCAGCAGAGTGAGGGAGATACTGCTGACCCAAAGGCTTTGCTGACTTTGAATTTGGGGAGAGCTGAAGGGCTGGAATACCCCCAAGAGGCTTGTGATCAGTAATGTTTGGGGATTGGAGGACTTGACAGGGGGGATTCTGAGCATCGAGTTAGGGTTTTTCAGATGAACTGGGTTCCCAGCCATTCCTTACTAGGCAAAAGAATTTGGGAGTAGTGCGGGTTCTTAGGCAAACTCTCTCTGTGCCTCAACTTTCATGTGCTTATAATAGGAAAAATAATACCAACGTTGTATGGTGGCTGCGAAGATTAGATTAGGATGCTAATACAGATTGCCTACTAAGTGTCTAGCTCACAGTGGATGCTCATGGTGTAGTATGATGAGTTATTTCATTTGTTGTTTCTTACTCCAGCGACCAGAGCACGTTCAAACACATGGAATTGAACGTGTTGTGCTTTTTTGGGGGGAAATGACGTAGGGCACGTGGGGCTGTAGTGTAAGGACAGGCAGAATATTGAGAAATTCGGCCGGAAAGTAGATCGGGGCTGGGACGCTTAGAGCGTTTTTGGGTAAGTTTTTGGGTCTTACTGGCATCTCAGTTATGTTAGGTGTACCTGCAGTACATTAGATACAGAGGTTGTCCGTTCCGCCAGTAAGGTGCGCCCAGTTCTGTATCGTCTGTGTGATGGGGGAGCATGAGGCAGACGGAGCGGCAAAGCCCAAGGTAGCACCCCCCTGTCCCCACCCCGGGTGGGATCTGTGTGATACTCGTTGGACACTCCCAGCTACCCAACAACGAAGGGAAGGGGTTTAAGTGCTTGCCATGGTGATGTGGGAAACTAAGGCAAATGAAAAATTAAATCCCCCTACTGCCTATGGCCCATTGACGAGTCCCTGAAACCAGCAGAGTGACCTCCCTCTACCCTTTGCTAGGGGCAAAAGAGAACCTTAGCTTAACATTATCCCAACCTCGGGGACCCTGTAAGTCTACTTCCTTTATCTCAACTGCCCCAAGATGTATGCTGGCAATCATATTCCCAGCCTATACCCCCCGCCCCATATAGGTCTCATGACCGAAAGGTCTCATGACTGAGGTTTTATTGAATAGTAATAAATGGTGTTTCCCTAGCAACAGCTAGCCCCTCAAGGTCCTGGAAACCTCGCTTCGAAAATTCTTTAAGAGACTTACTCTATCCCTGACCCCCTCCCAACCTGAGGGTATAAAATGAGTTGCCCATCAGGACCCAAGTGCAGCTCTTTCTGCCCATGGGTTCTGTCCCCATGCTTTAATAAAATCACCTTTTTGCACCGAAGATGTCTTCAAGAATTCTTTCTTGGCTGTCATCTCTGGACTCCACAAACCCCCATCACCCCAAAACTTCATCATATATGACTTAAATGAATGCAAGTTGAAAGTAAACTTTCGCAAAATGACTGGAAAGTCCTTAAGTTAGGATCAGTTGGATTAAGGAGAAGAAATGAAAGCATATGAGACAATTCAAGAAATTCAGATGTTTACAGTTACCCAAAGTGTAAAGCTCCACTATTAGGAAATCATGGCTTTTTTTTTTTTTTAAATTTTTTTTTTTCAACGTTTATTTATTTTTGGGACAGAGAGAGACAGAGCATGAACGGGGGAGGGTCAGAGAGAGAGGGAGACACAGAATCGGAAACAGGCTCCAGGCTCCGAGCCATCAGCCCAGAGCCCGACGCGGGGCTCGAACTCACGGACCGCGAGATCGTGACCTGGCTGAAGTCGGACGCTTAACCGACTGCGCCACCCAGGCGCCCCAGAAATCATGGCTTCTTAAGAAAATGGACCCCGCTTCCTTCGAAAGTTGGCAGGGATGACCGCTCAGGCTTGGCTAACATGATAAATGCTGTGCTTTACTGGTGAACGAGCAGTAAGCAGTGCAAAGAAAAACATGAGGTCAGGGAATCCTCAGGTCGAGCAGTCTCCCGATGCCTTTGCTTCTCTTGGAGGCTCTCAGCAGCCTCTCACACGAGGAGCCGCAAGTTGTCCTTTGCCCTCTTGAGGCCGGTGGCGGGGAGTGATGCAGAATGTGTGAGCTATATTGGCACTCCTCTGCTGTCTGGGTTCAGTGTTTGTTGGGGGAGCGCGGTTATATCATCACGTTTCCTTAGCAGTGATGTCTTGTACTGTTGTCCGGGGCACCAGGAGTTCTAGAACATCAGTCCTCGCCCTGGTCCACGAAGGCATCTCCTTAGGCCGGATCCTGCCAGTCATTCTCCTTCCCAGTTTATTGTTCACACTGGTGCCTGGGGTTCCTGTTTTCTAGGCCAAGGATGACTGCTCTGCTCCATTAGAGACTTCTAGTGGCTCCCAGTTGCCTGCAGGCTCCTCTCCAGTCTGCCTTTAGCTGCGTCTAAGCTTTGACTTTTCCCGCTCTTTTCTTTCTGCTTTTGCATGCTCCTCCTGGAATGAAATGACTTCTCTCTTCCCCTTTCTAAACTTCTCCCAGTCTGGCAAGCTTCTACTCATAGTTGTGACCCATTTCAAGTTTTTTTTTTTTAATGTTTATTTTTGAGAGAGAGAGAGAGAGAGACAGAGAGAGACAGAGACAGACAGCGGGAGCAGGGGAGGGGCAGAGAGAGAGGGACACACAGAATCCGCAGCAGGCTCCAGGCTCTGAGCTGTCAGCACAGAGCTCCATGCGGGGCTTGGACACAAGAACAGTAAGACCATGACCTGAGCCCAAGTCGGATGCTTAACCGACTGAGCCACCCAGGGGCCCCCATTGTGACCCATTTCAGAGATCATCTTTGTGAACCGCGTTGGAAAAACTTCTGGCAGAAATAGAACAAATAAGCGACTGTGTCATGCAAGGCATCCTTGATGCCTGCTCCTTGCTTACCGTTCGTATCCAGGTTATCAAGACTTCCTGAGTGTCTTTGAAACCTTTCCACTTTCCTCCACGTGCTTCCTTACCAACACGGCTCTTGTCCGAGCCAGCACCGTCTCCCAGGCGGACTGTCGCTGGGGTCGGCTGGCTGGTCTTCCTACATCTACTTACTTTTCATTTTCAGCAGATTGATTTCTGTCATGTATTTTTCTCATGTTTTTAACAACATATTTTCATACGTTTTATGGCATGGGAATTATGTTGGTAAACACGTATATTAAGATGTGTATATTTTTAAATCTTTACTGACCCATAGTTCCATACCACAAAATTCAGAGTGTACAGTTAACTTCAGTGTGTGTAGAGAGTTGTGCAAACATCCCCACAATCCAATTTTGCAACATTTTTATCAGTCCAGAGAGAAGCCCTGTTTTCTTTAGCCACCACTCTCCATTCTCATACCCTGTCTCCCCCCAGAATAGGACCCATTTGTCTATTTTCTCTCTCAGTAGCTTTGTGTATGTTGGACATTTCATATGAGGAAATAATTTATGGTTTTTTGTGGATTTTTTCCACTGAGCATTATGTTTTCAAGGTGCATCCCTGCGGTAGCACGTATCAGTATCGCATCTCTTTTTATGGTTCGATGACATTCCATTTTTTGGGTAGATCAGACCACAATTTGTTTATTCATCATTCATACACATTTTGGTTGTTTCCACTTTTGGGGTATTGTGGACAACGTTGCTTAGAAAATTCATGTACAGTTTTGTGGACGTTTCATTTCCATAAGGTGGAATTGCTGGGTTCTCTGGTAATTCCGTGATTAGCATATGGATGAACTAGCAGACTTT